TTTAGTGTTTATTGTTAGAGAGCGATTTTTTTTAGGAGGGGGGAAGGTGGATGTGATCAGCCCAGGGCCAATTAGCACTGTCCAGAGAGAGGGTCAGGGGTCATGCAGCCTCATAGGAGAGTCAGAGGAGAATGAAAACTCTTCCTACAAGCTTTAACCAGTGCTCAGCCAGACACTGATAAAAGTCACAAGACTGCTATATACTGCTGATGAGAAAAGATATTTAGCAGTTTACATTTACAAAAATAATATCATTTTCATGTACTGTGGAGGACCAGATATAGTGAATGCAGGGTTCTGGGTTTAGTAACACTTTAAATAAACAACTACATAGTCCACAGGCTGCCTTAGGGGGTTGCAGTCTCAGAGACTTTGGAATCTTCCTTGCTGACGAAGGAATGATCTCTCCAGAGCTCCTATCTATTTATCACCTATGCAGCCAACTTCTGGAAACTCCCCTCCAGGGATTGGCTAAGTCATGATAAATATTCAGACCAGTCATTTGACTTTTTCAGCCCCATATTCTGGAAACTTATTACAGAAGCAGGAGGAAGTAGTCAAACTCTCAAGCCTGTGAAACCATGAACAGACCAAAGTAAACAATCATTACTCCCTTGCTTACAGAAGGAGCCAAAAACTAAATTTGCCAAGCATACGCTAGGAGGGTGCTACAGTTCTTTGGACTGTAATACCCTTCTTGCAGTAAAAGAATTGGCAAGATGCTATTTTGTTTTATTTGAAAAGTTGCCTTTGTTTTGCTGTTGTACTGATGAAAAGCTATTTCTTCACGTTTTGATACTGCAAGCATTATTTTACTTGATTTTTGCAAAATAAAGCCTTTTTTTGTTATTATACTATATGACTGCTATGGCAATCCCTGGCCCCCTGAATTTTACATTTCTAAGAAAAAGATGGTAGAAAATAATCTGAAATTGTCAACATTGACAAAATAGGCTTGAATATGGTCTTTGTTATGGGTTTAGGTTCAGTCTTTTGTAAATTTGCAAGTTTGTCTATAAAAATGCTAATAGACATTTCAAATCTTAATAGCATGCACATTTACAAAAGCATGTTAAAAACAAATGAGGGAAACCACATAGTACACATACCTACAATTTACCTGGAACGAAATTACCATGGGTACAGTAGTGCTGTGAAGGAAGTTTAGAAAGGAGGTTTACATAGGAGGCTTTCAAAGGTATAAGCTATAGCTGAATTTGTTAGAAATGCTATGCCTAAACTTGTGGGTCCTCCATAGTGAGTTTACCAAAGAACGAGAAAAGGCCAAATCGCGAGGTGCATTCCAGAAGCTGAGAGAACAGCAGGCAATGGATGAAGACTTGCGTGGGTATTTGGACTGGATTACACATGCAGAAGTTATGGATCCAGACATGGAACCAGGAGATGGTGAGAGTTGGCCTGTAAACATTTATTGAAGGAAGAATGTATTACTACACTATTAAATATACATTCTTGCTTTTAGGATTCTCACAGCTTGAGGAAGGCGGCTCCGAAACTGACAGTCTCTATGAAATAGAGGGGATCAACAAATGTATCGCCTTTTTGTGAGTGAGAGCATATTGAAAAAAAGTTGAAATAGTCTGAAAATAATCCATGTTTTCATACTATACAAAATTCACCTGTAACATCATCGTATATGCTTATGCCTTTCCCTAGCCGTCAGTGGCGCCAGTGGCATAGACTGCTTCGCCGAAAAAGTCGAGCTCTTGTGAAATCCCGCTTCTTCTATTGGCTTGTCATTATTATCATTCTTGTTAACACTATCGTTATAGCAACTGAGCACCACAATCAACCTGACTCTCTAACAAGAGCCCAAGGTAAGCCATAGTTCTACTGTCGGAATATATTGACATAACAAAAGATTTTCAAGCTATTTGTTATCAAGCTAAAAAAGCTTTCTTGCACAGTTAGCTGTTAATTAAAGCTTCTCTAAACCCAAAAACAAAATTAAATATATTGTAGCTAGCTAGTCCTTAGATGAGGTACCTGCATTATTTTCCTATCTTCAGGTAATTTTTTTCTTTATTTTTATCTTGTAATTTGTTAAATTTGCGAAAAAATCACTTCTTCACTGTATCTATGGAAGATACCATGGTTACCACCAAAGCTAAACTACATGTATGTGTGATTTTATTCATCTCCATTGCATGAGGTTTATTGAGACTAGAAGTTTATGTGAGAAAGATAAGACTGTTTTCTATTTCTAGTTTGGCAACATCAAAATGTGTTTTCTGTGCATGCTAAATATATTCTTAGCCTGCAAAAGAAAACAAATGCAGCCAACTCATCTAAGGAATGTTAAGCTGCAATATGTTATCGAGGACCTTTCTTGACATCCACAGAAATTCACATAAACATACAGTCATGTCTCACAGTATTATCATAGGGTGCATGTGCAAGATAGGGCATGTGATGTCTTGCATTTTTCATCTTGAATATGCACAGTACAATAATACTGTCTGAAGAGGTGCAAAGTCATCAGTGGGCAGTCACAGGGAACAGGGAAGTAGAGGCCAGCTGTCACGATCGCAAGATCGCCGCCACCAACATGCGACAATCTCACTACCGCGACCACCAATATGTCACGATCGCGGCGTCAGACCCCAGACCTTCTCACCAAACTCGTGACTGAAGGACTGGCTGATCCAGACTGTGATGTGACATGCGTAACAATGCCACACCCAACTGCACCCTACACAGCGATTTTCTAGCTAATGGATTTCAATATGTGCCTGCAGCCTGGATGCGCTTGTTACTGGGTCAGGTTAATTACTCAACTGACCCTTACACACTGCCACCACCCCTTTTTTGTGCAGAAAAGGGGAAACTCTCTTTATCAAATATACACTGTAATGGTTGAAAAGTCGTCTGTCCAATACGGTCACCGCAGGTCGATTGGGCAGAGGATTAAACAAACACAGTAGCATCTCTATAGAGGCAGGAATTCGTAAATTACAATTAAGCGCTTTACAAACAGTTTAACACTTTCAGAAAGAAAGATTTATTACTAAAAGAGTCAAACAGGTGCAATAAAATATTTACAGAAAACGATGTAACTAAGATATATATATATACATACAAAGAACCATAGCACAGCAAAGAGATATCAGAGAGGAAGTTAAAGGGTTAAGTTACTTGCCAATAAAGCCTTAGCCATAAGCAGATCCAAGTTTCAGAGCAAAGAGTCTCCCCAGGTGGTATATTGATGTTACAATTGGGAGATGTCTTCAACTAACTTTTTTAGGCCTGCTAGCCTGTGTTTTTAAAGTCCCCCAGCAGGGGGGGTGGCTCTGAGTAACTGACAAATACTCTGTTTAGGGAGGGATCGTCAGGCAGACTCTGAATTAGAACCAACATCTGTCATAATCCATGATATGAAACATAGGGGACAAACTGACTTGAGGAATGTTCATTTAATTCTGTCACCTAAGCTGGTAGGTTTTATGAGGTTACAATCTCTTTCAATTCCTGGGAAAAGCTGCCTTATCTCGGTTACGAGGTGAGAGATTACACAGGTTCTTGGGCAGCCAGGCTCTGTCTCTCTGGGGGGGGGGGGGGGGGCTTTGTAGCTCTGGGCCCCCTGCTGCTCTAGCCTGCCAGCAACTTTTAACACACACATCTGTCACTGTGCCTCTCAGGAAGGGAGGGGGAAGGAGAATAAAGGATAAATGAATACTTTTAATAAAAAGGGGGAATCTGCGTGAGCAAGTTTGCTACACCAGCCACCAGTTGTTTTTTTAAAACAGGGAACAGGGGCGGACAACAAACAGTGTAAAAATGTCTAAATGTAAACAGAAAGGTGTAAAGACATACTAAATGTAAGTGCAATTGTTTAGCTACAGTTTTTTTTATATAGTGTTAGTGGGGTTTTTTTTTTACAATGAATAGGGGTCTGCTTTAAATATTTGCTCTTGTATTTCCTTATCCTTTAAAAGAAGATGTGAAAGCAGATCTCCAAACAATGCTGGGGTTGATTTACTAAAGCCAGTTAGACTGTGAACTTTGCAAGCGCAGTTTCACATCTGTGAGGGCATTGCTCCAGAGCTTAGTAAATGAGGGGAAGCACTGCTGACATCCATCATCCAATCATGTGCAAACAAAAATGCTGATTTTTTTTCCTTGGAAGCTCTGGAGCAAACGCCTTTGTAAAGTGCATGCTACAGTTAGTATTTTTTACAATCATTTAATGTGTTTTAAAATGTGGTAAAGTATAACTGTATAAAACCTTTATAGCAACTTTCTGCAACACCTTGCTCATTGCAAATCAGACTGAGAGTGAGAGGTCTTTACATTTTCGACAAACAATGCTGTCAATATAACATGTTTAAGGCTTTGGGTTGGGCAAGGAAAGGTGTTTAGGCTGCTTACAGAAGGAGAGCATAACTGTAAAATAAGTTGTGTGGTAATATTATTTTAAAGTCCAGTGAGCAGCCAGGCGACACAGGACGTTGCAAAACTGCAGACAAATATTGTTGCAACTAAACAGTTCACATATTTATTTCAACTGAGTATTTAGATGTTGGATATGAATCACAAACTGTATAAATATCATAAGACCCAAAAGCGTACATTTTAAAAGTTACTTTATTAAGTGCATTTTTTTAAACTTATCATGAAAATCATTTGTCATGGCCTTTAACAAACTCAGACTAAAATATGTGGGTGCTAAAATAGAATAAAATAAATAAAATAAACTAATTTATAGTAAATCCAAATCATAAACTGACTGGTCAAGAAAAGTAATTAAACAACATATTTTTTGAGTTTACTTAATAAAGTTCATGACATAATTTTGTTACAAGCTACCTTAATTCAAGTTTTTTGACTATAACTTAACTTTTAAAGTGATTTTAATTATATTTGTAAGTGTTACTGCATTTATTTGGCTACCCCTTTCAAGACTTAAATGCATTAAAAAATTCTTGTATTTCCCATCATTTGCAGACATCACGAATGAAGTGCTATTAGCTCTCTTCACCATGGAGATGGTCGTAAAAATATATGCACTTGGTTTCCAGTCATATTTTATGTCAATTTTCAACCGGTTTGACTGCTTCGTAGTCTGCACAGGACTGCTTGAGATCATGCTGGTGGCCAGCGATATCATGTCTCCTCTTGGAATATCAGTACTGCGTTGCATACGGCTACTTAGAATATTCAAGATTACACGGTAATCACACAGGAAAAAGTACAGGATGTATAGCCTATGATGTAAAATATTTGGATAGACACACACCAGAAAGTAACTGTAGTTAGGAACTGCCTTCTGTAGAGAAAATTTAAGATTCAGAGATTTATATCAGCTTGTACCATGTCTTGGAATGGTAGGGACACAGCGATAAAAATTTTACACAGGGTCTAACCCTTCTTTCCAACATTTATTTACAAGGGTTAAGATCTTTTCCATTTGCTTATTGATCTTTGCTTGTAATTTAAGTATTTTCTCACATAGCTATACCAATGAAAAACAATAATATCGTGGGGGGGGGGGGGGGATTTACTAATGCTGATACATAACAACCAATGAGCTTCTATCTTTCATTTTCAAAGCTAAAAATCAAAGCTGATTGGTTACTATGCTACACATTCTGTCTGCTCCAGTATTAGTAAATTCACCCTTGTGCATATTGCAATATGGTAATAAAGTAAAGAAATTATTCCTTTTTACATTGATACAAATAAGGCAACTACCTCCTACCTCTAAACTGTCCTTTTCACTATGATGCTGCCCCATTAACTAATAGGAATGTGCAGGAGGCAGAAAAGGGTGAGCAAGCTGCAGCACTGTCACAGAGTTCCTATTTACCAACCATGCTCACATGCAGATGTTTTCCACAACTCCCTGGGCTCCTGGACATGTCTAGGAAAGATACATTTATTTGCTTCCTTCTGTCAGAAGCTCAGAAACCTCATGAGGCAGATGTAGTTAGGTAAGGGATCTGCAGCCAGGTGAAAAGGCCCTCCACTGTCAAAACTAGCATGCTGGCAGCTGGCCATGAACTTAATAGCACACAACTTTTCCAAAAGATCCAGCTATTCTGTGGAGCCTCTCCCCAACTGCTACCAGGATACTCCAGTTCCAGTGAGGTGGAACTTGTCTTTGTGCTTGGGATTGCTCCACCTGTAGACCTGTAATACAAGAGCTACACTGCACTTGTGAGGGGTGGTGTCTCTAAGGATTGGATTTGGAATGTGGTGGTCTGCAGGGGTCCAAGGGGTTCGGCTGCAAGGGGTTGGTTACAGATCCATGGTTCAAGAAATATGAACATGAGGGAATTGCAAATTTTTTTATATGCTGGCCATTTGATGTCTGGGGGTCACAATGCTGTTCAGTCATATGTTGAAACATATTGCTTTTTAAAAGAAGGATTGCCACATATCTCATATGTTAATATCGCCTTTGCTTTACGTATTCTTTGAGAATATCTTTGTTCAGAGGACAGGTTTCCTACTCTCATTGGTTCATTGGGTGTTGGTGCAGCTGTCTTATCCTCTGGTTGTAATCCTGTTGATGTGATTCTGGAATATTTTCTTCCACAACATCTGTGGGTGGCTCCAAAACCACTTCATCTGGCATTTCTTGTCTTGCTAATTCTCCAGCTGAAAGGTTAGGGTCACTAGGATAGAATTCCTCAGCCTTAGGTTATAATTGGGAAACTATGCATTGCTCACTGTCTTTGAAGAGTGTGGGACAATACACATAGTATTCATCCTGTGAGGTATCTGAATCTGAAATCTCTAGGCTACTGTTTTCTTTTACTCTTGTTGCTGTCCTAATGTAATTTTCCTTTGTTTTGCCTAGTGTAAAATCTTCAAAAGGCAAATCATTGACTAGGAGTAGTAAGTTATGATGAACCACTCTTACTGGTTTGTTACCTTTCTCTGGTTTAACTTTGTGGATATGCTCTTGTTCTATCTGTTCAACTACCCTGTACACTGCCTTTTCCTAGTATGTTCAGAGTTTTCCTGGGCCTCCCATTTGTGACAAATGTGTCACATCTTTTGCACGTTGGTCATAGTACCTTTTAAGTTTCTTTTGGCTATTCTCAGAAGCAATGCAGTAAGATTCTCTCATCTTGATAGCTAATTTTTCAGCATACTGCTGGGGTCATCTTTCCTCCTTCTCATCATCCATATCAAATAACAGATCCACTGTTAAACAGGGTGTTCTGCCATACAACAGAAAGAAATGGGCATAGTTAGTTGCTTAATGCCTATTACAATTATATGCATTGACTATTTTTGGTAAATACTCTTTCCATTAAGCTTTCTTTTCCTTTTCCAATGTATGAAGCATTTACAATAACTATCTATTCAATCTTTAAATAGAGTTGCTGTCAGGGCTGGCCTCCTGCTACTTAACGAGCAGCTCTTTTCTTTCAGTGCTCAGAAGCTGCTCAGCTGTTGGTTAATTACCAGCCACTCATCTCCACAGTGACTCACCTGGATTCTATTACCTGCCTCATTAGTTCAGCCTACAGACAGCCTGTCAGAGCCTGGGATTGAACCTGGGCCTTCTGCGGTGAGATGCAATGTTTCTTCTCATTGAGCTACCTGGGATGCTGGAAAACACTCTACCTGACCTATTGGACAATCCTACCTTGTTTTCTGTTGAACCTTGAACTCCTTGCTCCTCCCACGAACTTCCTGATAAAAGCCATGCCTCTGCATTACCTCTTTGCCAGATTATTGTGCCTTCCCAGCCAATATCCCGCTTATCGTTCCTGCTGCCGTCTACATCTTCGCTACCGACCTTTGACTTGCTACTGACTACGATATCTGCCTCATCCTCATCTGCTACCATTTGTGCCCAACCCTTGGCTTGTGACTGACTCTGCTTCTGTTTGATCCCAACCGTTGTGCTACTGTCGAAGCAAAATTGCATAGTCTGCGGCGGGGTAGACACTCGGTCGATGAATACACAGCCGAATTCAGAAGTTGGATCGCAGATACCACTTGGAACCCTGTTGCACAAAAGAGCCAGTTCCGCCAAGGGCTTTCTGAACAGGTAAAAGATGAGCTTGACAGAGTAGATATTCCTAATGATCTTGAGGAATTCATCCAATTGTGTATCCCAATCGATCAAAGACTTATAGAAAGGAGGAAGGAGAGCCTGGGAATGTTTGGAGGTAATAGCGGCATGCATCTCTCTGCTAGTCCATTTGTTCAGCTTGATTCAAGAGTCTCTCTGGGTTATAACACTCCTGAGCCTATGCAGGTCGATGTTATCAAGAGATCCATTTCCATTCAGGAGAGAGAGAGAAAACGTTCAGAGAATTTATGTCTATATTGTGGGGATTCTGGTCATTATGCAATTAATTGTCCTAACAAAGTTAGAAGAACAGTTGCTATGGCTGATGTGATTGTGCCTGAACAAATAAACTCTATAAGCCAGTCTGACAGTAGACACTCAACTTCTCCTGCAGGAGCAGCCCTGTTCTTCATTGAAAAGAAAGACTACACCTTGCGTCCATGCATTGACTACAGAGACATGAATAAAATCCCTATTAAAAACGGCTATCCATTACCCTTGATCTCTGAAATGTTGGAAAGACTTCGTTCTGCCAAGATCTTTATAAAACTTGAATTACGAGGGGCATATAACCTTGTCCGCATTCATCAAGGAGACAAATGGAAAACTGCCTTCAGAACCAGGTATGGGCATTTCGAATCCTTGGTGATACCGTTTGGACTTTGCAACGCCCCTGCAACGTTTCAGCATTTTATCAACAATGTTTTTCGTGATCTGTTGGACCAATTTGTAATTGCCTATCTGGATGATATTCTTATCTTTTCTGATAATTGGGAGGAGAAACCGCAAACATGTTTGCACTGTCTTTGAAAGATTAAGGAAAAATAGACTTTACATTAAGTTGGAGAAATGTGAGTTTGAACAAACCCAGATCCAGTTCTTCGGCTATATCATTTCTCCAGAGGGAGTGAGCATGGATCCCGAGAAGATCAAAGCAGTGGTAGATTGGTCATCCCCTGGAAATGTTAAGGAAATTCAACGTTTCGTCGGGTTTGCCAACTTTTACAGAAAATTTATAAGAAATTTTTCTAAAGTGATAGCTCCAATCACACAGCTGACGAAGAAGGGGGTACCCTTCGTGTGGACCCCTGAGGCACAGGCTGCATTTGAAAAGCTGAAAACTCTTTTCACTTCCGCACCAATTTTGGTACATCCCGATCCTGAACTACCCTTTATAGTGGAAGTGGATGCTTCCAATTCTGCCGTGGGAGCTATCCTGTCTCAGCGAATTGATAAAAAAATGCAGCTTCATCCTTGTGCCTACTTTTCTCGTTTGATGTCCTCAGGCGAAAAAAATTACGACATTGGAAATAAAGAGCTACTGGCAATGAAGGAAGCCTTTTCTGAATGGAGGCATCTGCAAGTAGGGGCTAATCATCCTGTAACTGTTCTCACTGACCATAAAAATCTGGAATTCATTTGCTCGGCCAAGAGATTGTCTTCCAGACAAGCACGCTGGTCTTTATTCTTTTCCAGTTTCAATTTTGTTATATCATATCGACCTGAATCGAGGAATGGAAAGGCCGATGCTTTATCAAGGATGCTGTCTGAGCCTCTTTAGGAGGGAAACTCCAAATGTTCAATCCTAACTCAAAAGAACTTCCTAGGGGCCACAAGTGCAAAGACATTCTTGAGTCTTCTCAAAGAGGGGTATAAGAATGACCCACTTCCCAGGGATCCTCCTAGGGACATAAACCTTGAGTACAATAACGGCTTTTGGACTCTAGCACATCGTCTCTATGTACCTGAGTCTGCTCTGGTGGAAGTCCTCAAATTAGTTAATGACTCCAAACTGGCAGAACACTTTGGGATTTCAAAAACTGATGAACTTCTGTCATGTTCCTTCTGGTGGCCTAGTTACAAGAAGGATATCAAACGCTACGTGGCCTCTTGTCTGACGTGCGCACGTCATAAGACACCCCGAGCATGTCCTTTGGGGTTGCTTCAGCCACTTCCTGTTCCATCAAGACCTTGGGGGTCAATTTCTATGGACTTTGTAGTCAAATTACCTCCCTCAAAAGAAATGACTACTATCTTGGGAGTTGTCGACCGCCTTACTAAAATGGCTCATTTCATACCTGTTAAGGGGGTACCTTCTGCTGAACAAACTGCGGAGTTGATGGTTCGAAATGGTTTTT